ATTGTATTTTACTTGAAGTCATTTGAATATATTAGAAAACAAATGAGGTCCATAGAATTTTTCTTCATTCCTTCAATCAAAATCATTACATTATGAAAACAATTGAAGGCATTTATAATAGGAAAGCTGATCAAAATCAACCAATAATATTTAAAAGAAATAAATTATGGGTGATTTAATGATTTAATAGGAAAATGACGTAATTGAAAAAATTAAACAAGTTTCATGGATCTTCCTTTGATGTCAGGTTAATCCCTTTGAAATTTTTTATTTTTATTTTTATTTTATTTTATTAGTATTTTTTAAATATTTATATATTATTATATAATCGCTTGTTATATAGCTTTGTGTTTTTGACTGGTGATTAATCTCATTGAATTCTTTATTTTTATTTTATTTTATTTAAAAATATTTATATAATATTATATTGCTACGTGTGATATATGTTTGTGTTATTTTGCAAATTGAAAACAGATTACTATCAAATGGAATCATAAGCGGATATAATTTTATCTTATTTTGTTTTGTTAGTTATTTATTATTTTTAGTTGATTGATGTTTTTTATGATGCAATAACATTGTTACACCCATCTTCTTCTAAATGTTTATGAACTTTCTTGAAAAAAACAGGTACTATTGAATTGTTGGTGTTAATTATTTACTATATTTATTATTATAATGTGTTTTCTCATTCCTTTATCTTGTATTATTCTAGATAATATAAGCATATTTTTGTTGCTTAGATGTTGGCGGCTAAAGTTAAAAATATATCAACTATAATAATAATATGTTAATTTACAGTAAGCTCTACCAATTAAATTTACGTACTTTCAGTTAAAAGAAATACATATATTATAAATTCTTAAGTCTGACAAAAAAAAATGGAGCTTCAGAATGTCAATTGCATTTTTGAGTTGTCTCCTTTTTTTAAAAAAAAATGAGCATTGAATATATCGGATTTTTTAAAAATAAAAATGAGTAATGATTTTATATTTTATGAATTGTTAATATAGTTTTTATAATCTTTATGTAACGACCTGTTTAGTCGTTTTGAGCAGTAGAGTTTATTTCTGGTAATAGCTGTCTGGGTCGACGGATCCCACGACGGACCGTCGAGGGGGTCTCGTTCCAAAATACTTAGACTCTGATATTTGGGTACGGGGAAACAACTCTCTGAACTTCGCGACGACATGACAGCACGGACCGTCGTAGGCACGACGGACCGTCACAGAGCTCTTAAATGAAATTGAGTCTCTGAACTCTGTGACGACACTGCAGGACGGACCGTCGCAAGCACGACGGGCCGTCACTAGTGGCGTAATTCCACCTGGGTCGGATTTCTGCTAAAGTTTTAAAGGGGTGTTTTGGACTATTCCTGCCTATGATTATAAAATTAGTGGTTTAATGTTAATAATTCAATTATTTGGGGGTTAAAGGAGAAAACCTTGGAATAAATAATGGGTTACTTTTACCATCTTTCATACTTAATTATATGATAATTAGGGTAAAAGAAAAAGAGTTTGAATAAGGAAAAATAGAAAGAACAGAGAGAAGAGGGGAGAACGAACGAGAGAGGGAGAAACGAAGAGGAAAGCAAAGCATTGGAGGAGTAGATTGCTTGATCACGATTCTTCGGTGGAGGTAGGTTATGGTTTATACTATTTCATAGTAAACTCTAAATAGCGATTGATATGTATTGGATGGTATTGTAAAGTCTTCTATATGCTTAATTGTGTTGTTGCATGCTGTGATTGTGTAAATATTGATGGTTTATAATGATGATACTGTGGAATCTTAAAAACCTTAAAACCTCTCTATTAATGATGATGTCTTGATATAAAAGAAGGCTTGATGAACTAAAAGAATGAGGTTAATGGATCGGGTGTCACGAACCGACACGTAGTATTAGGGGATCGGGTGTCACGAGTCGACACGTAGTATTAGGGGATTGGGTGTCACGAACCGACACTTAGTATTAGGGGATCGGGTGTCACGAACCGACACGTAGTATTAGGGGATCGGGTGTCACGAACCGACACGTAGTATTAGGGGATCGGGTGTCAGGAACCGACACGTAGTAGTAGGGTATCGGAGTGTCACGTTCCGATATCAGGATATTGAGGGATCGGAGTGTCACGTTCCGACACCAGGATAGTAACATGAATGAATATTGAGGGGATCGGAGTGTCACGTTCCGACACCAGGATAGTAAACGAAATGAATCTTGAATTATGTTAATATACTCAGCTTTAAAGAACCTAATTCCTAAGTGAGTATGGTGTGGAGGCTTGAGTCCTCATAGATGTGCTTGGGTTGTGTCCAACGGTTATGGTACTTGTTGTTGTCACCTGTTAAGTATCTGGTTGGTTTTATGTTATTATCTGATATATATTGCTTTCTATTTTGAGTTGGCCGATGATACCTACTCAGTATTTGTGCCTTGTACTGACCCCTACTTGTAATTTTCTTCTTTGTTATTTGTGGAGTGCAGCAAACGTACCGTCGACTTCAACTCAACCGCAACTCTAGCCAGACCTCAGCATAATCAGATTTCAGGGTGAGCTATTGTTCCTAGCTCGGACTAGATTCTCTCTCATTCATGTCTTGATGTCTTTGAAGTTCGGACATGGACCATCTGTTTTCTTATTTTAGCTTCCTAGACACTCTTAGATTTAGTAATTTTAGGATAGAATGTTCTTGTGGTGATGACTTCCAGATTTTGGGGATAGTAATTGATAAATTTTAGAAGTTATTAATTGATTTCGTTAATGAGTTTTAAGTCTTCCGCATTTTATTTTGGTCATTATGGTTGAATGTTGGTAAATGTTGGGGTTTAGATTTGTTGGTTCGCTCACATAGTAGGATAAATGTGGGTGCCACTCGCGGCTCATTTTGGATCGTGACACTTTAGGACTCAATTATTTTTTTGGTAGTAACCTTTGTTGATGAACACTTCTAAAATTCTTTTTTTTTAAAAAAAAAGTAATATATAAAGTGTAGTTCTTGGAAGTTGGGGAAAAAGTTAGAATATACTTAATGAATTTTAGTGAATAGATTGGAAAGAAATGTTCAAGTGGTTGGAGTTATGCAATTTCTGCCATATTATTATATTCTCTGAATATTGATTTATACGTGTATTTGTATGGGAGAAGAACGTACCCCAAATTTCTTTACTTTCTTGAATTATTTCTTTGGTATGACCAACGATGTAAAAAGTATCTTCTTTAAGGGGAAAAAAAATCTATGTCCTATGATGTTCAATGATCCAATAGATACATATATCTATGTATTTGTTTGTTTAATTAACGAAGTAAAATTAAGTTTAAATTTGAATACATCTCAATATAAAAATATTATATTATTATTTTAAAGTTCGTTTTTTCTTTCGAAATTCAGCTTTAAAAGAAAATATAAATTACTATTCTATTTATATAGATTATTATTATATATAACTCAAGTATTTCTAGATGATTAAAAATTCGAAAATTAAAGAAAAATAAAAAGAAAATAAATAACGATAGTGCATAGTTTATTTTATTTTTTAATTTTGGTTAAAAGAGGAGATAGTATATCATAATGTTATGTATCAACACAAATATTATGTATAGCTTAAACAATGTGTTCAAAAATTCAAGGCTAAAAGAAGTTTTAATAATCTTGATATTTAAGAATTCAGAAAATTCAATAAGATTTTATAATCGCGCGAACTAATTCACTAGTTGAAAATATTTTTAAAAAATAAACTTCATTTTTTTTTTGCGGGATAGGGGTTAGGGTAGGGGTGGGTGGTGGGTGAAAAATAAAAATCTGAGATATAAAATATTTTTTAAAAATAAACATAATTTTTTTTTGAGGGGGGAGGGGGGGAGGGTAGGGGTGGGGTTATGGGTCAAAAAGGAAATTTTGAAACTGAAAGTATTTTAAAAAATAAATTTCAATTTTTTTGGGGGGAGAGAGGTGCTGGGCTGGGTAGGGGGTCATGTAGGCTGGGTGAAAATTAAAATTGAAATTGAAGATATTTTTTAGAAAGAAGCTTAAAT